TTTGACTGAATGCCATCTGTCTACATTGCCCTTTAAGAGTATTGACTGGGGAATCCCAATGAGAACTGTGAAGCCAAAAAGCAGCAAAACCATCCAGAAATATTTAAGAATAAATGACCGAGGCCAGCCCGAATTGCTGAAACACCATCTCAGGGTCATCATCTGAAATCCGGGCTAAAAACACGAGCAAAACACTGAAGCTATTTAATTCATCAAAAGATATTCATAACACTCTCTCACAACGTCAGTGCCTTGCAAGAAGGATAGTTGGATTCAGATTTTTTTGGGTGAATTGAGCTGAGCTGTGGAAGAAAAAAAAAAAAGCAAGATGAAAAGTTACAGTTTTTCTGGTCCATTATTTGCTTTGGTCATTTGACATCAAGGGACAAAAGGACACAGGAGGCTGCTGGGTCATGTTGACTGCACTCAGGCCATGACTTTGCACATGAGCGGTTGAAGCTACAGCAACAACAGAGAGGATAATAGAGAGGTGAGCACAGATAAGGTGCCAGAAACACAAAAGACAGAAACAGAAAAGAAAAGCGAAAAGGCGGAGGAAGAGGGTCAGAAACACATTTGGCTTTTCTCATTTGCCTCATGCTAAGTGCCATTACTGTCAGCAGCCATTGTTTCATGTTTATTGCAATGTCCACTGCTGATGAGTGAGAGATATGGACTCAAAGCCTCTTTTGGCTAAAGATGGACGGAACTGATAAGCAACTGCAAGCTCATTTAACCAATATTAGCATCTGCAGAAGAGCTCGTATTTGCAGAAAGAGCACAGATGGGAAGTCTCAGAATGAGATTGGACTCTCAGTAAACTGTTTTTAAATGAAGTCTGATAACAATTTTTTCTTCCTGCCTCTGTTCTATCTCGAAATGGTTTCTAAGCCTGACACTCATCTGATTTAAGTCACATTGTTTGTCACGGGCATCAAGTGATAGGAATAAGAATCATATGAAAAGCTATTAGTTTTCTATTACTGCCAAGCAGGATAGACAGGCACTCAGCTCTCACCCGGATGACTGTGTTTAAAATGTCAGGTTGCTTGAAAGAAGTCTACCTCTGTGGGGGCTCCCCTGTCACTTCCCTGGGGGCTGAGAGGCTGAAATGACCATAAAACTCTGTTGAGCTAGACAGCCTGTAATTTCAGCAGCGAGAGGCGCTTTGCCGAGATATAATGGAAAGTCCGCGGAAGCTGTGAAACGCACCGAATCCTGGTGTTGGAACGTCATTGTCTGAACACTCAGGACACCTCTCTAAACTTTAAATTACTGTTTTTAAGCCGTCATTGTCGGAAAGAGCTCCACAGCTAAAGAGAAACTTCTGCTCATTCGGTTTCTTTAATCCTTTTGAGGTTCATTCTGTTTCCAGCAGAAATCTGACATTCACATTCTGTTTTAGCACAAAAGAGAAAGACCCTTTCCACGTATTAAATTGAAAATAGGCTCTCAAAGGTACTTTGTTTAGGTGCAACAAAGTTGTTCCCTCACCTTCTAGTCGTTCTGCCCTTTTTTTGTTCTCTCCGGCTGCATCATCATGGGTAAAGCGCCTTCATTTCCTGTGTAGATGTGAGAAGGGGCTCCGAGTGAGGAGGGGCAACATTTAAAGTGGTATTTTCTCTACTCTGTATTATTAACATAGTTTGTCTCTGCGTGTGCATTTGTGTTTGAATGTGCAGCGTCTGTGCAGCAGAGCAAGTCTATGTCCTGATTTCTCAAGCGAGGCTTTTGCAACTGATGTTAGCAGCATGTCATGTCAAGAGGCTATCTGGGAGATCCGTACAGAGGGTGGATGGAGCTGAAGTAATGAAGTGGATCTGAGTGGGGTTCACTGCTGGAGGTCCAAGCCCATCCAGCACACTGGCTGCATTTCAGCTCAAGTGAAAGACAAACGATAAAGAAATCAACAGTTAGGCAGACACAGAGGGCTGCTAGTGCACCGTGTGTTTTACCCTTCAACCAAATGCTTCTATTCTTGTCTGCAGGCCCAGGAAGAAGGAAAGCATAACATTGCTGTTGGTATTCTCTGAAACAGACTGGGTAAACTCTTTTCTAGAAGTTTCCTGAATGCCAGTGTCCGCCCTGCAGAAGCAACAGATCATATGTTAGCTGATAAGTATGCAGCTAACAGCTCAGTATCATTACAATGCATCTCATCCAATTCAATTACCTCAGAGGCTGGTGAAAAATGTTAAAAGAAAAAAAAAAGATAATGAATAAGTGATCCAGCAGTGCCACCATGATTCAATGCATATTTAAAGATAAGGCGGTATGTAAATTTGTGTCACATTAACATTCTATCTTTTTAGGTTACTGTGATTTGCAGCCGTTTGCAGCATCAGCACTTTTGTTATTGTTTTTGTTAACATGAATATTTTACATAAAGTTCTGTAGATGCACCAGTCAACTATTCTTGTTAAAATGTTATAATGTGTTGAATAAATTGACAATATGTCACCTGGGTTAAACTGTATCCATGTTGATGTTAGGCCGAAAGCGCCTGATTATTACAAAACTAGCAATATTGGGGAAAAAAAGATATTATTTTCCAAATTAGACATTGTTTTGTAAAGATTTTACATTTTTAGGATGTATTTTTTTCCAAAATGAAGCAGAAAACTGTATTTGTTAAACACAAATGCAGATAAAAGGTATCCATAATTTGTTTTGGGAGAAATAAGAACATTTAAAAATGAAAATATTAAAAGTATCAAATTGAATCAAAATCAAATCAAAGATACTTTATTGATCCCAGAGGGAAATTAGAGTTTCAGTACACACAATTCAGAGATCAGACATACATGGCAAGACAAATGACAAGAATTGGTGAATGGTCATTCGCAACCCGAGTCGCGCTACCTTAATAGAGATAAGAGGGTTAGATGAGGATTGGTTCAGGTGGAGGGAAAAAAAGGCACTTCAGAGTTACTTTCCACCGGGAGGGCAGCTTTGCTCTGCAAAAAAACCACCTCAGACAGATATGCAACAGACTTCAGACAACACAACATAAGTGTTCACTAGGTGGGGTGGTGGGTTGGGACTATCCCCACTTCAGTTCCTGCAGCCACGATAGAAGCAGCGCGTGTCACCTCAGTGTGGATAGGGGGAGGAGCATTGAGGGTTGGAGGGTTGCAGTGACCCTGGAACTAACTAGTAGTAGAGTTGAAAGCATAGAAAAATTTGTTAGTTTAGACATTAACAAATCTGTATCATTTTAAAAATAGTAAAAGTTTATGAAAGAGTTTTAATTCATCTCAGCAAAGATCAAGGAGCAAACTACCCCTGCCAAAACTGAAGCAAACACGGAAGTGGAAAAAATATGCAGTTTCCCCTCATCAACTAGAAGCAGGCTCCCAAAAAAGAGAATGTTCCCTTATAATAGTTTATTTTATTTAAAGGCAAGAAACAAGAACTCATAAAGGATCTTGACTTGAAATCTAAATTAATCATTTTATGGGGTCCTAGTATGCTAAACTCGTGTGTGAAAAGCGTCTTTGGGTGTCTTGAAAAGCGCTATATAAGTTCAATGTATTATTATTATTATTATTATTATTATTATTATTATTATTATTATTATTATTATTATTATTATTATTATTAAACTCATCTTTTGCAAGCTTTTGTGCTGCCTAATCACTCCAAATGTGGAAAAATCCAATCTGGTTTTAGGAATTAAGTGCAATTACAAGCTGATTTTCAAAAATTCCCTGTTTGTGACATCACAAAGTGGAAAAGTAAAATAGAAGCACCTCTCTTGTGCAAGAACAGTGGCTCTATACCTAGCCCCTCCCAGATATTGGAGCGTCTCAGCTTATAGCAGCTTGAATTGGAAATGGGTAGGCGTAGCCAGCTCCAGCTTGTTTTCCTAAAGTGACTGAGTCCTGACACGGCTCATTCTGGAAGGTACCGAAAATACCAAGAACAAAACTGCTGGAATCACTTCATGTGAGGGGGGTTTGTGCCAAGAACTTCATAAAACTGTTTTGTATTGACCATAGAACTATTACAACTTATTTCATAATATTTTGCCTTTAATTATTATAACTTTTTTAACAAACATCAGTTTTAAACCTCCAAAATAAAGTTATGGGAAAAGCTCCCCAAAACATATATAAAACTGTTTAAATATTAAAAAATTATTATTATTATTATTTTTAAAGCAGCAAAGATGATGACGATGTAAGGCACAGCGCCAGGAAGGGAATGCTTTCAGGGCAGCTGTGTTCACTTTTAATTATCAGGTGTTAAAATGCCCAAAAGTTTTCAACCCAGCTGCTATTTTAAACATAAGCGTAACCACTTTCACTAAAACCTGTCTGTTTATGTGTAACGGCATGTTCACGACCCTAATCAAGATGACAAAACCACCGCGGGGACTTGAGCAATTCTCTAAACTTTAGGTTGAAAACTGTGGTCAGACCAGGTCAGAGTGACTCATGACACTGAAAAAGAAGAGCGAGCAAGAAATGTGCTCTCGTTGTGATTCACTTTGTGAGCAGCAGTGATGTAAGTAACACAGACAGGGCAACATCGCACATGTTCCCTACCAGTACACCTAGTTAAGTGGATTAGCAATGCCACCCTAGGGGCCCACACAGACCTAAAGCTATTGTCACAAACACAATTAAGCTAAACAGTCCTTTTTTCCTTCTTTTTCCTTCACCATTGCCTCCCTTCATGGCAGAGGTGGCTGTTGGGAAACAGTTGTGATGCTCAAGATAAGCAATAAATTAATAATATCCCGTCTTATCAGTACGCAGACACAGTCCCATGAGACTGTGTGGCATGGCGTGAAGAGCTTGTTGGGCTTAAGTGGGACCTGATTGCTATTCAGAGCACCTGGTTAGGCGGTCTGGAAACAGATGTTGCTAGTCACAACTGGCAGCTGGGCTTTAGTTTTTAAAAAGTGCCAAAAATTAGACCTATTCCTTTGAAATTCCGTACATGTCTGTGTCTATTCGTCTTTCATTTGCTATCTTTTTTTTTCCTATCTGTAGGTCTAGACTGGCTGATTACATCACGAACTGCTGGACGACTTCCCACTCCGGGAGCACCTGTCCCAACCAAGACAATCACCAAGCCTGTTTGGCCTCTTACGCAAGGCTCATCGGTCAGTGCTGGGGTGGCTTGAGGATGCGAGAAAGTGGGAGAGGAGCTGGTGGATCTCCTGATGAAAAGTGATGATTGTATAAGTGTGGAGGAAAATAAAGTATGAGAGTAGTTTGGTCTACTTTTATCACACAGGACCAGCCAGAGGAGTTGGTTGCATTTTTTTTTCTCCTACCTGGCCTGATATCTCCACCGGCACACTGGACATCAGCTCAGAACCAGAAGTAAATTAGGGAGTAGAGGCATAGAGAAAGTGTTTACTTAATTAAAACACTCGACAGCCATCTGTTTGCTCATAATAAACGCTGTGCAGTGTGACTAGTGACAAATCACTCCCTGCAAATTTTCTAATTCCATCCAGCAACATCCAGGTAGTGTTGTGCAGGCATTACAGGGATTAGAGAGATTTGTAAATGCAGATTTACACAAAATATATTTACATATTTGCTGCTTAATGGCTGCTGAAGTGTCCATATTTCAGCATCAGTAGGTGCCTCGCTACCATCTGTCATAAATGATGCATTGTGAAGTGGTATTATGCCACTGTGCTTCCTGGATTTTTTTATAAAAACGTTACTCAAAGTGCAGCGAACGCTTAAGAGTCCCGCTGAAAGCATTGATACACGCAGGGGGGGATAGAGAGACATTTATAAAGTAAAATGTTTTGTTGCAGCAGCGCTGCGTTCAAACGCTTCCTACTTTGCAAAAACATTTATAACATAATGGCCTCTTTACATCTAACTAAAGCATTACTGGGTGGTTCCTGTAAACTCAAACAGAGCAAATCCTTTCCTGTGACTAATATTCTGCACTATTTACATACTCCTCACACTAAATGTAGTCCATTATTGTCCATTAGTGACCTATAGCTGTCCTAATGAGTGTTTGTCTATGTGTGGATACCCCCTCCCACCTGCAGGGACAGAAATGACCCCCAACTTTGTTGACAACAATTTCTCCAACTGGACCATCTCTCCCTGGTGTACCTGCAAGGGCAGCGGAAACCTCGAGGAGGAATGCATGAACTTCCTGCGGCACTTCACTGAAAACACATGCCTAAGTGAGCCAACTCGACACATGCATCACTCTGCACACATCTGAAATGTAATTTGCAACTGATAGGGTTCCAGCAGTCATGTAATATTGATGAGAGTAAAAGTGTGTGATGCCGTAGTTACTCTTGCTAACATGCCACAGCGGTCTGAGCTGTGAACTTCAATCTAATGCAACTTTAATGGCCTCTCATGTCAGATTCTGCTTTTTGCAGAGTTGTTTGGCTCCTCTGCTGGATATTTGCTGATATTATGAAAAAAAGCGAACAGCGGTGTACAGTGAGAGAAGGCGGAAATGTTTGTTAAAAGAGAAAATGATGCGTAGATGAAAGGATGAAACTTTCCTGCTACAGAGGTACAACTTCCCTGCAGTGATCGTCTAATATACTAGATATATTAGAATTGAATATTTCTAGTTTCTTGGAAAAAAGATAAATGTTTGTATCCCTTCAGTGGGCATTATCTACCCAGGCTTTAATACAAAAGAACCATTTGCATGTCATTTTCGCATTTAATCTGAAGGAGCTTATCCTTTTCGGAAGAAGGAAGTCATGAAAACAAGCAGAAATGAAATAATGGGGGGAAGCAGATCGTTTGTATATCTTATACAACAAGAAACAGAGACTGTTTTTCATCCTAAAGTAAAACCATACCTGCTCCCTTCTTGTTGAGGCATCGCGAGCGGTGTCATCGGACCTATCAAGACACCATTGCCCTTAGCATGTTCCATTGTGTGGATAATGCTTTTGGACCATTTCAATAGATTGCTGCGTTACCGTTTTAGCTGAGTGTGCAGGATGAGGGATGGGGCTGGGAGCTGAGGAGGCGCCTTGAAAAATAACACAAAATGCAGCATCTCCTCTCCGCAGTCGAGGGGAACTGGCCGTAAACTTCCACTTCCACCGGGGGAGGAGGATATACACAAAAACATAAGCTCACTAAACACAACAACACATATTCAACCTCCTCTTAACCTGCACAGCTTTCAAATGACTTACAAATAACAGGTCTGAGCGGTGGCCCAAACTCAACAGGTTTGATTTCACAAAACTTTTAAAATTTTAATTAGCAGGTCAGCCAGACTTGGACATTTATTTCATCTGTTCACCAAGGTATCTGACCTCAACTATCACTAAGGACCATCTCCAAGTTAGAGTCATCAGCTCCTGTTTTCATTTTTTTTCTTTATAACCATCTAATGCAACCAAAAGCAGCATCACAAACTGAAAATTTGCTGCACTTTGGTAAATGATCAAATAAGTATATAATACTCTGAAACTTAAACCCAGTTTCCTCCTTTTGCATCTCATCCTGTTCCCCTTCGTTGCTACATCGTCCATGTCTGCAGGTGGACGAGAGAACACATGCTTAAAGGAAAACTTTAACGAAAATCATTAAAAAATTGAACTGCTGTCGGCAACAAGCTTAATCACTCAGTGTAGCAAGCTGCAGTGAAGTAGTATCTGGAGTGGGGGGTTGGGGTTGGTGGGGGGTTTGTACCCCTCCAGCCAACTAGTTTGATTTATGACTTTATTCCTTCATCTTAAAGAATCTGCAGGGGGATAGCTAGCTTTAGCTGACCCTGACAAACAGATGTGTAACATCACGTCTCAGCAGTTCTCCTCCAGCTCTTCACTGCTATTGTTGAAGTTTTAAGGCTGCCATGATGAGCTTTTAACTTCTCATTTTAGCATTAAAGCTCTCGTTCACTCTTTTTTTTTTACTACGTCTGCTGTGGTCTCTTGTATGAATGAATGCTGTGTGAGTCACAATGTTAAATAGCATTCATAGACTCACCCATCTTGGCATGCAACAGGGAAGATTGTTATTGGTTTAGCGTCCAGCTGAGAGCACACCTTGGCTAGTAGAAGCTAACTGTTAGCATTAGCAACTCTGCAAGATGGCTTGTGCTATTTATGGAGATAAAACATCAATGTTGCAAAGCAAATGGAGTCAGTGGTGAAGTCACGTTGCTGTTAGCCAATCAGAGGCAAGATGTTCGAATATCAGGAAATAAGACTCCAAATCCTGCCGTTTTCTGCTCCCCTGTGCTCCTGCTAATTTCTACCTCCTGAGACAGGAGTGTGAGAGCATTTTACCTAGAGAGATCAACTCACAAGACATTCATTTATACTAGAAACCACTACAGATGTGTTGAAGAAAATGAGTTGGTCTGTAATATTCTTAGCCTCTGGTTGGCTAACAGCAGTGCAACTCTTCCACTGACTCCTGTTTTCTCCGCAACGTTGATGTTTTATCTCCACAAATAACAAAAGCCTGAATGACTTCTGCCATGTTGTGAAATTGCTAATGCTAACAGTTAGCTTCTACTAGCCGGGATACACTCTTCTCTCTCCTGGTTGCAAAACTCAACACAGCCTTCTCCGGTTATGAGCACTGACCTTAGTGTTTTTCCGTAGATGTTTTTATCAGTGGCTAATGCAGGGGTAGAAGACTATTTTCACGTTCAGCCTGATTTTGAACCTCGGAGTGACGATCATATTTTAAAAAATAAGTAAAAATGTGTTTCTCAGTGAACTTATAAAAAATATGGGTACTTTTATGTGGATGCAAATGTGTGTTTACCGCTTTCTCACATTTTGCTGCACTATGTATGAATAATAGTCTGTGTAGGTGGATGGAAAACGTGATGGATAAGAGAGCACACATCAGGAGGTCTGTTTGGATTATTCACAAGCATTCCTCGGCTATCCTGTTTGTTCTCTTCACGGCGGTGGGGAAATGTTTGTGAAATGTTTAGAATTTGATCAGTCACATAAATCTATTCAAAGTCATCACTGTACACTGACCTTATAATGAAGGTGGTTGCCAGGCAATTACATCCCTCGCCTTCGCTCTGCCTGAACAAAGAAAAGCAAGCTTTGTGTTTTAAATGGATGAGCAGTGAAAAGGTACTCAGCCCCAGTGTTACTGCTCGGTAGCTGAAAACCACCCTGAACGTGAATTTATCACATTTCTGCAGGCTTGCACATACACTGAAAACATTTACAACCATGCGTTTAGTTTATCAGTAACCACTCATGAGTTTACAAGCTGCTGTCTTCTCTATAAACTGACAGATTCAACTCTCTCCAGTAGTTTATTTTAATTCTTTGCTGGCAAACAAAGTGAAAAAGAGTTCATCATCCTAAATGTGGACATTTTGTCACTATTTGGTCAGCATTTTGCAATTTTCAGAGCAGCTGTTGTTACATAAAAGCCTGTTTGTAATGAGGCGGGACCGTGAGCCAGAGTTGTTTGTATTTGATAAATGTGTCCATTTTTCTCTGCAGGATTCTCTAATGGAAGGATAATTACTTGTTAAATTGAGAGAATAAACATGTAAAGCACTGAAAAAAACAGCTTACAATATTAGGCATAAGGTGATGTTTGTGTTTTGTTAAACAGTTAAATCCTAAGTGGCCTTCCAAGTGACAAACTCTACTAACAAATCTCTAATTTGTTTGTCATGGCTTTGGCATTACACTCTCCAGCTTAAAAATTGACTCTCTGTACTTTATTTTTTTTTACCACTTCCTTTTTCAATCTGTTCTTCTGCCCTGCCTCATTCCCACGGTTGCAAAAGACTGGGAAGGGGACCAAGAAGATGACTTAGAGCTGTCTGTCTGCTAGCTGGCTTCTTGCTGAGACGGAAGTCAAACACAAATGACTTTATTCTCTGTCCCTGCAGGAAATGCTATTCAGACTTTTGGTTATGGGATGGACACCATGCCAATCAAAAACGTGACTATCCAAAGCCCGTCAGAAATGTCGCCTTTTTGGCCGACGGACATCCCAGATTCCACCGTCTCTTCCTTGAAGGTAATTCTTTTACGAGAATTCTTATCTGTGCAAACTGTAGCAAAAAAATCGTCTTTTTATTGCATTTAAAACAGGAACTACTTTGCCAAAACAGGTTCATTGCAAGAACCACAAAAACACTCCTCCACTCTGCATCTGCTGAATGAGGGATTATGCTCTGATTCTAAAGCTGCACAGTTCAAATCACATTTTATATCTAGTGTTGCTGAAGAAATTGGCATATCAAAACAAACGCCTCATGATAAGACAGTTTATGCTACACCCAAGATGATGACATGTGGTTGAAATATCATATTTCCCTCCCAGACAATGGGAGAGTGAATGGAATGAAAAATGGAGGAATTTAATCTGGATTAGAGCTTCTAAAATACTGTTCCGTCTACTTTAAAGACTGCAGTCAAGTCGACCAAAACTGGGTTCACTGTCTGGAGCAGAGACGCATTGCCTGTTTCTGTGCTGCACAAATGCATCGATGTTTGTCCTTTTTATAGAACTCTACTTCATCTTTTTTTTCTTTAAATAAATGTGAGGATGACAGCAATACATCGTCTGCTGCACACCGCCCTCTCCAGCATGAAAGAAATATTTCACCTTGCACTTTTAGGCCAAGATGCGCTAGCTGTCAAGTTTGATTACCTCTTACAATGAAGTATTGTTCTGTTTTACAGATGTATTTTTGATGTGCAGTGCTGCCACCAACCAAATGCCGTATTTCACCTTTTTGCACGAGGCCTTCTCGCCTAGTTTGGCTGAACTAGACAGCTTTTGTGAAACAATCTGCCGCTGCTGCTTGTTCCTGTTCATGTCATTTTTCAATGACCATCACAGATCCAAACCCAATCAGTGTGCAGCATTTATGAATGAATGGCTCTCATAACGATGCATCAAATCATAGCCATCAAATGGTCACACTTCACCCGAGGCGTTCATTGTTTTGCTTTACACAGCAGCCCTCATTGTTGGTACGGCAGCAAATTAAAACCTTAAAAATGTTGCAAAGAGGCAAATTAATGGACACACTCTTCTGATGACAAAACAGTGTGTATGTTAGGTGAAAGGTAACGAAGACAGGGAGTTGGAACGGATGGCAGCGTGAGAATGGATGGTGTGTGTGTCCGTATTGATGCACTACTCAGAGCCTGTCTCACTGCAGCATGGTGTTTAATTTATTGTAAAAATGGTAATTAGGAAACAATAAGACATGTGATTACTCAAGCAGGAAGTTTATAATTAGAGAGGGAGCTAGTAAGGACATTTTGGGCAGCCCTGCATTCTCAAACAACTATGCCTGGCAATTAAAACTTGTCAAACTTCCATGGCAGATAAATTGGGGGGAGTATTGTTATGGTATCAGTCCTCTTGGCAGAAAAAAAGAGTGTCCAAAGCTGTAATTCTCATAGCAATCACACCGTAGAAACAGATGCCATGTGTAACTGTGTACACACATGGCAACACATGATATGAGTAAAACAAATACAAGGTGTGTGATGGATGGATAGACGCTCACGTTTACAGAAGCTTTAGGATGATCCTTTGCCAGGGGACTGATTTTGTCAGTCATGCTTCTTTTTTATATGCTTTACAATATTTTCAGCCAATTTGCATGTATATTTATTCAACGTGACAGTGTCAGATGTGCGCTTTGGCATGCTCAAAGTGTAAACACGTGGGCTGAAGCTTCATCTGTTGACTGTTTTAAATGTGCTTCCAGATTAGGTTCAATTGATCCTGACTGCATGACTACAACCTGTCTCCACATGTACTTGAAAGGTTTTGTTGTGTTATTTCTTTATTTGATACATTCTTATTATGTTTGTGGTTTTAGGTTAAATAAAACCTCACCTTTTGCATTCTTTTTGTGCTGCTACGTGGGTCTCTTCTGCCTCTTTAAACAGTACAAACGTTTAAAAAAATGTAAGTAAGAATGTTGTATTTATATAGCACTCATCACAGAAAGAAAATCTAAATGAAACAATCCAGAAACAAAACAAATCATAAAGTCATAAAATCATAATGATCTTAAAAACAAAACATCAACATTTAAAAAATATATTTAAACCAAAAAAACAGTCATGAAAATTATAAAATGGTTATTAACATCATAACACTAATGAAAGGTGATTATAAAATTGCATTCAAAAGGAAAAAAATACACACAAAATATTTAGGTTAAAGCAACTTTAAATAAAAGGGTCATCGGCAGTTTTTTAAAGATGTCCAGATTGTCAATACTATATAAGGATAAGGGAAGATCATTCCAAACTTGGGGTGCAGCAGTCTGGAAGGAGCGATCATCTTGACTTTATATCTGGTCTTTGGAACTTCTAGAAGGTTAGTTTGTGGACCAATAATATATGAAGGAGCTTAACCATGTAGAGCCCTGAAAGTTATAGAAATAATTCTAAAATGAAATGTTAATGGGTAACCAGTGCAGAGACATTAGAATAGGAGTGATGTGAGCTCTTCTCTTTGCTCCAGTTAGGAGCCTCGCTACAGAGTTCTGAACCAACTGAAGGCGGTCAAGGGCTTTTTTGTTAAAACATGTGAAAAGTGTGTTACGGTAATTTATATGGGAGAAGATAAAGGCATGAATGACCATTCCAAGTTCATGTTTTGACAACAACCTTAGCAGTTCGGAGATATTTCTTAGGTGATAAAAGCAGTTTTGGACCAATGTTTTTGAGGGGCCTTCAAGAGACATTGATTGGTCAAAAACAACACCAGAATTCCTCAAGTTTGTCTTGACGGCAGACGATAAATTACCAAGCTTTTAACTAATCAGGGGAACCATGCTCTCAGGGGCAATGATCAGACATTCAGTCTTTTCAGAGTTTAACTGAAGGAAGTTTTCTTCTAGCAGCCAGCTGGTGATAGCTGACTGAAACTAGTAGTTCAGTTTATGAAACTCAGAATCTTTAAAGGAGCTGTACAGTTGAACGTCATCTGCATATAGTTGATAGGAAACATTATGAAAATAATAAATTATCTGACCGAGATAAGATGTATATATTGTAAAAACGAGAGTGGACCCAGGACAGAGCCTTGGGGTACTCCACAGAACAGATTGGTAGAATCTGACATGATTGGTTTATAGACACTGTAACTTCTGTTACAAAGGTACAATCTAAATCAGTCTAGAACACTTCCAGAGATCCCCACCAAGTCATGAAGTCTGTTAATTGAGGCGTTGTGATCAACAGTGTCAAAAGCTGCAGAAAGATCTAACAATACAATTTACAAAACAGGAGACTCCCCGTTGTCTGCAGCCATCATGATATCACTACAACCTTTAAGCAAAGCTGTTTCTGTTGAATTTGTTTTACAAACTCCAGTTTTGAATTTATCTAAACTGTTGTGTAGTTCCAGAAAATTAATCAATTGTTTGGCCATAACTTTTTCTAGGATTTTAGAGATTAAGGCTAATTTAGAAATGGGTCTGCAATTGTTAGGCTGAGGGGAGTCCAAACTGGGTTTTTGGATAGGTTAAACAACTGCATGATTGAAAACAGAGGGAACAGAGCCAGAATACAAAGAAAGATTAATAAAATCCACAATGCATGGACCAACTTGGTCAAAGACCTTAAGAAGCAAAGGGGTTGGGAGAATATCAACAGGGCATGAAGTTGATTTCATGTTATTCTGAAAGAGACAAATGTCCTGGAAATGTACAAGGCCATGATTGGGGGAAGGTGGTTGGATGGAAGAATCGGAAGTGGATCAGGGTGAGAAACTTGCCCTGATATTTCTGATTTTATTCAGGGCGCTAGACAAACGTTTTTAGACAGAATTTAGAGTTTTGTAAGAAAATGCATCAAAATGCAAAAATAATAACTACACATGTCTACAACACTATTAGACACTCGTTCGTACTAGTTATCAGCTAAAAAAAAGTTGATTTTGATGTGACTTGCTCTTCAAACAATGCAGGAACGTTGTTATAGTCAATCCTTGAGTAAACTAGCATAAGAGGGATGTGAGGTAAAAAATCTGGTTTATGGTGTTAAACAAAACTGTAAAACTGTACCAACAAAGAAACAATTTAATAGTCATAATGTGTCCCATTTGAATAATCAAATTACATGTAAAAGTTCCTATAGCTCTATATTTGAGCTCTATTTCTTGTGCAGGTTGTGTTGAATTTAAAGTTAATAAGTAAACAACTTCAGTTGCTTCTATTAAATAAAATTGTTGCGTCGCTGTTGTATCAGCAGCAGCATGACTGTGAGGCTGATGCATTATTTCACCTCTGATCTACACCCAACCAGCTACCAGACTAAACATTTTCATGTTAGTTTAGCATAAAACTCAAATATTCATTCCTCACGTGTCTTGACACCACGCTGGTCTCAGGTGCAGATCCAGAAGTTATTAGTGAGAAAATGTGCTCAGATGTTTCCTTTTTCTGGGAGATTTGTGGTCAGTTCCTCTGTTCTTTGTTTAAGGTTCCAAGACAGCAGTTTCAGTCTTTGTGAATTCTGTGTAGACACATTATTCTCACTCATCATAAAGGATTACAAAACAAAACAATGTTATTAAGGTTAGAGTTGAATTTGGTCTTTAAAACTTTGTATGTTGCTGTAAAAGCAACACCCTGCGAGGGACTGGCTCTGCCCAGGGTGTACCCCGCCTGATTGCCCATTGACCGCTGGAGATAGGCACCAGGATCGGGCAGGAGCGTCTCAGGATCTGTCTGAGATCTGTCTCGGTGAGACAGATAGTAGCAATCCAAAGTGCTTTTTATGTGTGATCTGACAATTGATCAACCATTGCTTAAAATTAAATACAGCTTAGCCGGTTAATTGCTGTGATCATAAAACACGTAAACGGCAGCACGCAGAAATCACGAGGCAACGTTTTACGTGATGTTTACTTGCTGCTATGAGTAATAAGACAGAAAAAGCCACGTCAAAATACGTTTAGGAAGCCCACTAAGAATCGTAATAAAAGTATTTAAAAATAAATACCATACACAGTTGAGGAAACGTTGGTTTAAGTACCTGATATGAAGTGGTCGCTACATAAGTGAAAACCTTTACTCTCGGGACCCCACAGCTTCACTTTAGCCCGGTCACTAGCGCGTTTTATTACAATGATCCAACGTTTGCGGCGCTCCGGATCTTGGGGAATCCTGCAGATGGCTCATTCCTTATGTCGTCCGCGTCTGTTCTGCATCCTGGGGCACAACAGGAATCTACCATATTTCCCGTTTGATTGAGTTTTCTGACAATAACAAATAACCTAGCTGCGAGCTTCTGCCTGCCAATATGGCCCCGTTTCGATTTCAACTGTTGCATGCTGGGAGAAGTGATGTCAACTCCCGGAGCTCTATATACAATGAAACCTTCAAACATGCTTCAATTTCATGGCTACGTTCCCAGAGGAGCTATGATTAAAAACAATAACGTAACAAATGTATATTAACCAATTATTGTCCACATCAATGCTCTTTATTCATTTCACACAGAACAAAACGGGTTATAATTCTAAAGTAAAAATATGAATCATAAAATGTAAGTTTTATAGTTTAATGTATTGATGCTTTTGGAAAAGACAATGTATGTAAATGTACTTGAGTCAGACAAACAACTATTTCTCATCTGCTGTCCCTCAAAAAAAGTATATCAATTAGTTAAATGAATGTTTCAGATGTTTTGTTATGTTTTTTATGAGTCTATACATAATAAATACTTTATCCAAATAATTAAAGCTGTCTGAACAATGTGAGTTTGGAGAAACAGTTAAGTTCTGACCACACAGATAAGCTAATGCCTAATCTGCGTTGGAATAGTTGCACATTTCTGAAAAAAAGCACTTCATAGAAATTATGTTTCATAGAACTTTAAACCAGTGGCTCCCAACCTGTGTCCCCATCAAAGGGGTCCCCAAAAGGCTGCAGGGGTCTCCACAATTTTGTGAATGAAAATATTTGCATTTATAAAGTCCAGATAACACACCCAATAGTACAATTAAAACACTGTTTAAGAGGCTTAACTCTGTATGTCTGTATAAAGTTTGTACTTATTCAGTTTTAAGTATGTGCATAAACCACCAAACTTCATTGTTTACATAAAACCCTGACAGTATTTACATCTAAACTGGATTGGATACATTTTAGCCACTTTCCTTCAGGCAGAAATTGCAGAATAATTCAGCCCATAATAATTATCAAAGGTCTCATCGACTGAGACACTTGCTCTTTTAAAAATACGATCAGTCACTCTGAGTTGCACGTGCATGCTGAACGTGAAAACTGTCATCCACCTAGGGTTGTCACGGTATGAAAATTTAACCTCACGGTTATTGTGACCAAAATTATCACGGTTTTCGGTATTATCGCGGTATTTTTTAAACGGTGTTGCATATGTTCAGAAAGCATTGATAGTCCTGTTCTACACAAACTGAAATAGTTCTGAAAAGGTTTAACAGTGTTTATTAAACCTAAAATAACACAAAGCCTTAGCAAAAGTGCAACTTTTCACAAGTAAAGGAACAAATAGCTTATTTTTCTGGAACATGTTACAGTAGTCAGTGCAGGTTTAAATTATACAAATCCAAACATTCAAAACATAAACAACATGTAAACAAATCAAAGAAACACCACTTGTTTTCTCATATACTTGTTTTCTTCATTATCAAAATGAAAATCTAAAACTCCAGTCCACACTTGACTTGAAGTCAACCTTAAAAAAATATGTATTTAAAATAAATAGCCACTTTAAACAAATTACTAAAATAACTACTACACTATGTAATCAAATCCAAATGTTCAAGTATAAATGGCATTGAATAAGTAAACAAATCAATGACAAGGAACTAATTGTATATTTCTCTTCATCATCAACAAATAAGATGCTTCATCCAGCAACAGGGTGTCCGTGACACGGTTTAAATGCTGGCAGAGGACGCTGCGGCTGCAGTATATAGTGTCTCGTTGCATTCTCCTTCAACCAAAAGTCTTCACGTCATGCATTTAAGCTAAAATGCTAATGTTAACTTACCTTGCACTGGCTGTAGAGACGTGGGTGATGGTCACGCAGATGTGCCATTAGATTCGAAGTGTTGCTGCCTTTTGCAGACACTTGTTTCCTGCACGTTCTGCAAACGGGATAGCCGTCTTCTATTAACTGTCCCTCAGCATTTTTCAGAAATCCAAAATATGCCCATACTTCCGATTTAGTCTTCTTTGAGAGCTGATGGATGTCCTGGGCGCTGCCGTCTCCTCCTTCGGCCATTATTTCAGCTTCAAAGTTTTGGTGCCGTTGCAAACTAAAAAGTGCGTGTGCGCGCCGCGGGAACTTCAGCTGAAGCGACAGTGGCTGGTAAGGGTCACCGCGCCGAAACCGCGGCCACGGTAAACCCACCGAGATAATATAGTTTTTTAAAAACTGGACGGTTATTTTTATTGTCAACTTTTTTACCGGGGTTTACCGCTATACCGGTTACCGTGACAACCCTACATCCACCCATATTTCCTGGACAACAATTAGATTAGAAAAAGTCTATCTCAGCTAGTAGAAGCTAATCGTTAGCATTAGAATTGCCACAATTTACGACAAATGCACTTTTCGCCCAACAAACAAAGGCAGTAGAATAGTCTTGTTGTTAACCAATCAGGTGTGAGATGTTTTCAACTCATAAATATTAATGAGTAATACTCTTCTGGCTGTTTTATGCCCTCCACTCCTCCAACAAATGTCTACTTCCTGAAACAGGAGCTTCAGAGTTTTCTTTTTCGCACTGAAAATGACTCACAAGGCTTTCATTCATACTAGAGACCACAGCAAATGTACTGAAAAAATGAATGAGTGAAATGTGAAACTTCTGTTGATGTAAAGGTTTTAATAAAGAGGTTTTACACGTGTTTTTGTCACAGAAGAACCAATATGTGTTTCTCCAAACTGAGGTTGTTCTCATTGCTTTCTTTCAAAGGACAAGATGGTAACCGATAACTTCTTTTTAAACATCCTTTAAAGGAGTTGTGTTTTGACCACTCAGACTAAACTAAGCTCTATTAGATGGTTGACCAGAACACTAAAGGGTTTAGAAAAATATAGAAAATCTTCCCACATAAGAGACTGGTCCACTTTGTTCTCCTAACCAGTGGGAAGCTGGTGCTTCCTGTGTCTCCATGCATCTCTCTCTGTTCATTTTCAGCTCAATTGAATGGAACTGACTGTGGACAGAAGCTACGTAACGTGATTACTGGATAACTCGCCTTGGGAAACGCAGCCCTGTTTACTGTAAACTTGACAGTGTACTAACTGACGATAAAAATTGATCTCAGCAGGAGGGGTCGGTTCAATGAAAAGTCAGATGTATCCCGGGCAGATTAAGCACGCTTGTGTGACTGTTTCTAGTTCTCCCTCTATGTGGATGTTGCGAGGCTGCCTGCATCCTGTCACGCTGTGTGCATGTGTTTGTGCTTCAGTCACCCGTTCGTGAGTTTGCGTACCTTCTCACAGGCCCGTGTGGATGTGTGGGTATTGGCTGCAGCCAGAGATCTGGACTCATGTCAAAAGGCTGCTGCCACACATCACTGCTCCTACTAATTAATTGGCTTTTAGTTGCGGATGTGTTTGGTGCATTGTCGAGCTACCCAGTACTGCCCTTGTGCACATCCCTCTTGTTGGTAACAGTTTATAATAACATCCTTTATGAGTATTTATTTATTGATTTCTTTTGTGGATATTTTATGATTTATTTTGAGGCAGAGATTGCACCATATTTTGAAAATGTGTCCATAAGGATTTTGTAAATTAAGTTAAACTATAAAGTCTGTCATTTATTTGTTAAACATGAATGCTGTGATGAAATATATTCCCCCCCCCACCCCCCACCCCCCCACACACACACACACACCCACACACACATTGTCTTCTCCCTTTTTTCCTCCTGCACAGGAAATAAATGCATCTCCCTTGTAAATATCATTCAACCAATTTTTCCCCTGCAGCATTATTTATTTTCTCATTTACGAGTTACCTTGTTCTGGTGGGAGATGCGGCGCTGGTAGATAACATTCGTGTAGCTGCTTTTTTTTCTGTGCACAGGAAAATGGACCAGTGTAATCTTTACAAAGGTTGCTTTGGTGAAGATGAGGTGAGGAGGAGGAGGAGGAGGAGGAGAAAATGTTTCATGTTCTATATGATGCGCCTGTTTAATGCTCCGCTGGACTGAAAATAGTGCCTCTTCACATTGAGCAGGACTCGTTAACTTGAAGACAAATAGTTCTGCTTGATGTAACAAGAATTTGAGCAAATTGGAAAAGTATTCAGAATGTTAACGACTTTATGGAACAGTGCATAACGAGACCCATCGGAGAAGGGATGGAAAAGTGGAACTCTGGAGGCCACAGAATTTAATATCTTGGTCTGATTCCAACCTCTCTCCTTCGTCATTTGGTAAACTGCATCATCGGTTTCACTTTTTTTCTTAAAATAAAAAAAAACTAGACATTTGATTGCAAAAAGTAAAGAAATGTTATTGAAACTGCTTTCTCCGTCCCGTATTTTCAGCGAGATATGAAATATGGAAAAGAAATCCAAAGCTGCTGCTGGCGTCTGACTGTTTGGCATCATAACACGAGAGAGAGAAAAGTCAGTAATGATAGTTTTAAACACTGTTCAGAATCTTTCTGGCACAACTTTAAAGTTTTTCGGAGAGGAAAATAATGCTTACAAGAAGCTTTTCTTTGTTGCCAACTTGTTTAAAAAGCAAGGAGCATACTAAGTAGCAGAGGCTTGAAATGTACTTCACATGTCAAAACGTTGGGTTGATCAAACACTTAATTTTCATGCCAACAAGGATCTCGTTTCTCTCCTCCTCTCCTCACCACCAACCCTGTCCTGTCTTACCTTCCTCCTTTCTGCTCTGCTCTCTTATCAAATGCCAAAACAGAAGACAGTGCGAGTGTCTGAGTCATGCCTAACCTTTACACATCTCTCCTCCTCTCTGTGTCACTCTATCTGCTCAGTATCCTGGACCAGGTAACGGTGGCCTGGGCCTGAGAGAGGATCGCTGCCTCTGTCTGTGTGCCAACATCTTGGCTCTGCTTCCCAGCCTGGCTTTGGCTCCGATCCTGGCTCAGCACGTCTTGTAGAAGCGCCAGGAGGAGGGGGAAAAAGAGGTCATGCATCCACGAGCTGATCCCAAAAGCAGAAGGTGTCATTTCTGAGACTCGCATTAAGAAAACTGAATCACTGTCGACAGTTGGCGTAAATGGCCTTTGTGAAATCAGGAAAACAAAATGACAAGAGGCGTTGGGGATTTTTTTGAAATTTCACAACTGTGAGTTTGTTCTTCATTTGACCCATTGTCCAGGCTGTCTGCTACTATGATGGAGCACAAGGCTTTACAAAGAACCTTGGGTTGAAAAAGAAAAAGCCAGAAGGGCCATTCTCTGACCAACTCTGCCTGACTGGGGCACAAAAACCTGGAGGACTGAAGCTGCTACAAAGACTTCTACCCTTATCTCCCTGAAAGAGGAAGATAATTCATGTGCAACATTATTAAAAGATAACAGGATAAACAAAATAGGAATTGTTGCAAAGAAAATGGGAAGAAAATGTGGTAAATATTGCAGAAATTGAGCACAAAATGAAAGACTTGTTCAAATTGGGTTTGATCTTCTGTTGAATGAACAGAAGACAAATTGAAGAGTGTGGATGGAGGATAATTGCATTCTGTTTTTTCAGCACTAGTGTAAAGTCTCAAGACTGTAAAGCCTACTCTGTGTTCTAAGTGTTGGTTTAGTATCTGTGACCATAATCAGTCTCGAGTACAGATCTTTCATTTGGTTACTACAGCAAACTTTAAGCAAACGGCCAAAAGAACTAAAGCTGGAGATGTGCAATGGCTCTGCGGTCATTTAAGATGTTGACTGTGGGTGTTCACCATATGTCCACCTGCACATGTGTATAATCTAGTCTCTGTGTATATAAACAGCACTTTTCTTTCATGTAACTTAAGGATAACTAGTACCTTGACAGGTCATTATTGTATGCTAAGGTTGCTCAGTATTGGTACCAATGGAAGGCCTTCATTATCTGCATTTATATTTGTCTATTAAAGTTTAATCACAAATGTACAAAGCGATGAGATTAAAAGAGCTCAGTCTTTAAAGCCATAACGTGTGGGAATATCATACATTTATTGTGTGCAAGTCAGTGTGTGCTTTCATGCTGAAGGTGACGTGTGTGACTCTTTTGTTGGTTCCAAACAGAAACATTAATGTTTCTTTCCTACATGAATTTAACTTTATAGTTTGTGAAAGTTAAGTTAGGGGATATTCGTTAAGTCGGCGGATTTTCTAAAAATATAGTTTTATTGTTTCTAAGTTTAAAGATTCCAAATTAGTATTTTTTGTCATGAACAGAGTTCAGAAGACCCGTGAAGACGCCAACACAGTAAAAATATATATTAAAAAGTCTTTATTGAAAGCAGAGGTACCTGGAGGGCAAGGCTGAGGCAGGTTCAGAGGCAGGCTAAGGTCAAAGTGGCAGGCAGAGAGCAAGGCAGGGGTCAGGCAAAAAACAAGGTCCAGAGGCAAAGATCAGGCAGGGTGGATGGCTGGAGAACTACTGGCAAGGCTGTAATAATCTGGCATCGGTTGACTGGATGGCTGGTTCTTTTATAGCAGGGGAAGCAGGTGAATGGGATGAGGCTGATTACAGGAGCAGGTGGAATGAATGGAGCTGATTGAAGCTGACAGAGGTTGCTGGGGAAAACAGGGCTTGGCTGGAGCTTGGTGAGAGGACAAGGTGAGCTGAATGAGGAGGTATAATGAGGAAGTGGAGGAGGGTGAAGGATGGGAGTCATGACAGAACCCCCCCCCTCAAGGGCGGATACCAGACGCCCACAGGAAACCAGAGCAGGGTGGGAGGAGGGGGACCAGGAAGGAGGGCCAGAGCAGGGCGGGAGGAGGGGGACCAGGAAGGAGGGCCATAAGGGTCTGGGGGGCCAGCGACGGGGAACCAGGAGCCGGGACCGTGGGAGTCTGGGGGGCCGGCGACGGGGAACCAGGAGCCGGGACCGTGGGAGTCTGGGGGGCCGGCGACGGGGAACCAGGAGCCGGGACCGTGGGAGTGTGGTGACAGAGGACACTGGACCAAGGCTAAGACTAAGACTACGAGGGGACACTGGACCACGACTAAGACTACGAGGGGACACTGGACCACGACTAAGACTACGAGGGGACACTGGACCACGACTAAGACTACGAGGGGAAACTGGACCACGACTAAGACTACGAGGGAACACAGACTCTGGGACTTGAGGGGACACAGACTCTGGGACTTGAGGGGACACAGACTCTGGAACTTGAGACTGGGGAACTTGAGACTGGGGAACTTGAGACTGGGGAACTTGAGAGCAGGAGGGGTCCTCTTCAGAACAGGAGGGGTCCTCTTCAGAGCAGGGGCAGGAGGGGTCCTCTTCAGAGCAGGGGCAGGAGAGGTCCTCTTCAGAGCAGGGGCAGGAGAGGTCCTCTTCAGAGCAGGGGCAGGAGAGGTCCTCTTCAGAGCAGGGGCAGGAGAGGTCCTCTTCAGAGCAGGGGCAGGAGAGGTCCTCTTCAGAGCAGGGGCAGGAGAGATCCTCTTCAGAGCCTGGAGGTGTCGACCCTTGGACTGGAGGCTCGTGGAAAGGTTTCACCGGAGCCCCTTGGACAGGCTGGGCCGGAGCCCCTTGGACAGGCTGGGCCGGGGCCTCTTGGACCTCATCCGTCAAAGCAAGATGCGATATGTCCTCCTGGACCACCGCCAGAGCAGGATGCGATGCGTCCTCCTGGACCACCGCCAGAGCAGGATGCGATGCGTCCTCCCGGACCACCGCCAGAGCAGGATGCGATGCGTCCTCCCGGACCACCGCCAGAGCAGGGTGCGATGCGTCCTCCCGGACCACCGCCAGAGCAGGGTGCGATGCGTCCTCCCGGACCACCGCCAGAGCAGGGTGCGATGCGTCCTCCCGGACCACCGCCAGAGCAGGGTGCGATGCGTCCTCCCGGACCACCGCCAGGGCAGGATGCGATGCGTCCTCCGAGACCACCGCCAGGGCAGGATGCGATGCGTCCTCCGAGACCACCGCCAGAGCAGGATGCGATGCGTCCTCCGAGACCACCGCCAGAGCAGGATGCGATGCGTCCTCCGAGACCACCGCCAGAGCAGGGTGCGATGCGTCCTCCCGGACCACCGCCAGAGCAGGGTGCGATGCGTCCTCCCGGACCACCGCCAGAGCAGGGTGCGATGCGTCCTCCCGGACCACCGCCAGAGCAGGGTGCGATGCGTCCTCCCGGACCACCGCCAGAGCAGGGTGCGATGCGTCCTCAGAGACCACCGCCAGAGCAGGGTGCGATGCGTCCTCAGAGACCACCGCCAGAGCAGGGTGCGATGCGTCCTCCCGGACCACCGCCAGAGCAGGGTGCGATGCGTCCTCCCGGACCACCGCCGGAGCAGGGTGCGATGCGTCCTCCCGGACCACCGCCAGAGCAGGGTGCGATGCGTCCTCCCGGACCACCGCCGGAGCAGGGTGCGATGCGTCCTCCCGGACCACCGCCGGAGCAGGGTGCGATGCGTCCTCCCGGACCACCGCCGGAGCAGGGTGCGATGCGTCCTCCGGGACCACCGCCGGAGCAGGATGCGATGCATCCACCGGGACCACCGCCGGAGCAGGATGCGATGCGTCCACCGGGACCACCGCCGGAGCAGGATGCGATGCGTCCACCGGGACCACCGCCGGAGCAGGATGCGATGCGTCCACCGGGACCACCGCCGGAGCAGGATGCGATGCGTCCACCGGGACCACCGCCGGAGCAGGATGCGATGCGTCCACCGGGACCACCGCCGGAGCAGGATGCGATGCGTCCTCCGGGACCACCGCCGGAGCAGGATGTGATGCGTCCACCGGGACCACCGCCGGAGCAGGACAGATGGAGGTGGGACCCCTGCTGGACATGGATGTGGTGCGGACCCTGGGACCACCGCTGGACATGGATGCGATGCGACCCCGGGAACTACCGCTGGACCTGGACAGGCGGAGCCTCTCAGACAGGCGAAGGTGGAATCTCTGCTGGACGAGGATGTGGTGCGACCTCTGGGACCACCGCTGGACGTGGATGCGATGCTCCCCCTGGGACCACCGCTGGACGTGGGTGCGATGCAACCCCTGGAACCACCGATGGACCGGGGCAGGTGGAGCCTCTTCAAAAGGCGGAAGTAGGAACCCCACTGAGCGTGGACGCTGTGAGACTCCTGGGACCACCGCTGGACGTGGATGCGGTGCGCCTCCTGGGACCACCACTGGGTGTGGATGCGGTGCGTCTCCAGGGACCACCGCTGGACGTGGACACGGTGCGCCTCCTGGGACCACCGCTGGACGTGAACGGGACGGAGGGACTCGAGGCTTGAGCGGCGTAGTTGCAAAACCTGGCGTCTGTGAAGGCCATGAATTAGTAGAAGGTCTCCGGGACTGCCACTGTTGCGTTGTCAGGTACCCGTTGCGCAAGACGGCCGCAGCAGGCCTGGATGGAGGAGTGGAACCTCTGCGTGGCTGTGGCCTGATGGCCAGCCGCGTTCCCCAGAATGGTGACGCCTACTCCTTCTCTAGTTCCATGAAGTCCAGGAGCGTGAGATACTCCATGACAGGTATGAAGGAAAAAAATACTCCCAAGTGCTGTGTTGGCGTAGGGTCAGAGTTGGGCCAGATTATTCTGTCATGAACAGAGTTCAGAAGACCCGTGAAGACGCCAACACAGTAAAAATATATATTAAAAAGTCTTTATTGAAAGCAGAGGTACCTGGAGGGCAAGGCTGAGGCAGGTTCAGAGGCAGGCTAAGGTCAAAGTGGCAGGCAGAGAGCAAGGCAGGGGTCAGGCAAAAAACAAGGTCCAGAGGCAAAGATCAGGCAGGGTGGATGGCTGGAGAACTACTGGCAAGGCTGTAATAATCTGGCATCGGTTGACTGGATGGCTGGTTCTTTTATAGCAGGGGAAGCAGGTGAATGGGATGAGGCTGATTACAGGAGCAGGTGGAATGAATGGAGCTGATTGAAGCTGACAGAGGTTGCTGGGGAAAACAGGGCTTGGCTGGAGCTTGGTGAGAGGACAAGGTGAGCTGAATGAGGAGGTATAATGAGGAAGTGGAGGAGGGTGAAGGATGGGAGTCATGACATTTTTAGGGAGTTAACATGTAAAGTAATAGTTCAGATCTTTTAAAGTGGTGTTTTTTTTTTTATCATGAACTATCATTATTTTAACAGAGATCCCAATTTAAGTTTGGACAGTTAGTTTAGGTCAGATCGACATACTAACAGCTAGAACAGGCAGGAGCTAGCTATACTGTGTTTATATGTGTTTATTCATTTAGCAGACGCATTTATCCCATCGACATTAATATATGGACAATGGGTTTCCATAGACTCCATTAACAAGTTTTTGTGCTAAAATGGGAGTTGGCCACCACCGCCATTTTGACCATGTCACAGGTTCCGTCAAGCCCAGACAATTCCATAAAAGGGAAGAGAGGAGGAGCTGAGGGTGGGGCTGTAAGGCTGGGATCAACTGACGAACTACAAGCTAACCCGAAGCTAGCCCAAAGCTAACGCGGATGTGGGAACCGAGCTAACGGATGTAGCCACCTAGCTGCAACCGGAGCTAACTCTGTGGAACACCCATGACCGCATGGAGTTCAGGTGGAGGTTTGCGGCGCTTTTTCATGAGAAGTACCTTTCTGTGAATAAAAAATATTAAATCGGTAAGTTTATGTTATTTCCGTAAAGAAAATATATTTTGCTTTGAGCAAGTTTTCACTATTTTTCACGTACCATATTTTCAGGACTATTAGGTCGCTCCTGAGTCGCACCAGCCATTAAATGTATAATGAAGAAGAAAAAAACATGTCGTATTTTGGGGGGAAATTTTATTTTTTCTTACAAAATCTGAGACAAAATGTTTCACATTGCAAGACAAGTACCGGTAACAATAACCAAATAATGCGCCGCAGCAGCGCGCCACGGTCTCCAGCAGAGGAAGGTGGTGTTTGAAACCCTCCCAGTGGGACAGGGGAACTCATTCTTGGGTCGGAGTCGGCCCGCAGCAGCGCGGTGTAGCCTACATATTTTGCAATATAAGTCACTCCG